GCAACTACAGTGCAGGTGCTGGTTCCTGTCTGTGGCCCATTCATTCACTGGCAAAGAGCCCAGTGACAGTCATCAGCAGGGCCAGACTTGGACTCGAGAGATGCCCAACAATGGCTGTCTGTTTCTTCCTATGGCTGGAAGCATAAGCAGAGAAAAGTACCCATCAGCAGCATGCGAGCTGTGTGCCACAGCTGAACCATCTGCAGCACATGCAGCACAAATCAGAGGCCACTTGTCAGGTCCTACAGTTTGGCTTTAGATGGGAATGGGGAAAGTCAAATAAATGAGATTTACACAGCAAACTGGCTGTCAGTAAGGCTACTCAGCTCTTTAGTCACACATTTGCACGAGCAGGGTGCCTTGCAGTGCAACCAGACATCTGTCCTCGCTGTTGGTAGGACAGGACAGTGCAGCATTTCCAAAGTGAGGATAGGATGTCAGCTCAGGAACACAACACAAAGGTCCTGCTGAGACAGGAGCACGCCAGTCTGAGCACTTGGCTGAGTAAATGTTTGATTCTGGGCTTTGCCCTCTGCCCTGACAGTTGTTGAGTGTTTCCACGGAGGAGCTGTGCACAGCCGGGAGGGAGGCTGCCAGCTGGACCTCTATTTTCTGTTGTATGTTATGAAATAATTACCCAACTGGGAATGACACAAACGCCTGCGGACGCTTTTGCTTCTTCAGCCTAATTTCAAATTACATCAGCTGCTCTGCTCTGAGCCTTATTTTTGGAGACGCTGCCTATTAACACCTGCACATGCTCGTGCTTGCTCACAGCTTCACGTGAGGTTCCCACAGCCACCACTCACGGTGTGAGATGCTGCACAGGCACTGCAGATCAGTGCATTGCTCCGTTTCTGTGCCCAGCCGCAAGGAATGTGCCTGCGTCATCACAGCGTGATCAATTGCTTCCCCTTGGAAACAAGAGGACCCAAACCCCACCTATAGAAAAGGATTTAAAATGCTAGATGTGAGAACAGTGGTCAGCTTCAAGCATGAACTTGCATAAGTGGGTAAGGAATTTTATTACAAAGTGATACACTATTCTTATGCTAATATGCAAAGTAACAACTGCTTTAGGAAGTTAAAAAACAATCTTCAAGTTGGTTTAGTGATTCAGATCTATGTAAAGGAAAACATTTGCATACCAAAAAAAAGACAGTAATAAAAGCAAAGTGACAGAGAAATACCAAAAAATGCCAAACCATGAGGCAAAATTAAGGGTATTGGGCTGAAATGTGTAAGTATTTACTCAAAATGCATTGGGTCAAAGACGTATGTGAAATCTCTTGGCTATATATTTTGTCTAGTCCATTTTACGTAAATATTCTACTCATTGCAAATGGTTCAGGTTGCTTTTCAACCTTCGTTTGGCTGAAAGAGTTCCAAACGTTCTTCATTCATCTCAGTCCTTTAGTAAATGCAGAATAATGATATGGAGTTATCATAGAAATGATAGAATCACCGTGTTTGGAAAAGACCTCCAAGATCCAGTCCAACTATCTACCTGCCACCAGTATTTCCCCACTAAGCCACGTCCCTTAGTACCACATCTGGAGGTTTCTTGACCACCTCCAGGGACGGTGACCCCACCACCTCCCTGGCAGCTGTGCCAGCACCTCTCCACTCTTTCAGACAGGAAATTTCTCCTAATATCCAACCTGAACCACCCTGGCACAACTTGAGGCCACGGTTGAACTGAGAGTTGAATACGTTTAAAAATCTTAAAACACTTTCAAGATATATTTGAAGAGGAAGTTGGCTGTATGTTGTATTGCCTGGATTAAAGCACTCCAGACATTCTCTCAATGCACAATTCCATTTTGGGAACTTCTAAACAAAATCATGATGTACCAACATGCTTGTAAATGTACTCAAGTGGGTATTTTTTGCTTGCTTTGTTTTTTAATTGTATACAGCACCATATCAAAGATCTTTTACTTCTGAGCTCTTTGAGTTTTTAAATAAGAGGGCAGCACTGAAACAATATTAATTCTGGTCTGCATAGCCTCGAACACTGCAGGAAATCCTTCAGCTTTGTCTCTGAGTCTGCAGTTGCTGTCAGTAACTTCAAGTGCCTTTAAAAACACTTTACGTCTTGATACCTAACCTCATTTCAACAATTCTGTACCAGGCTGGGAGGATTCCTCTTTCTCCAATTCAGAAATATTTCTCCTGGAAAAAAAAAAAAAGAAAATTAAAAAAACCCAAGTGAGTAAGAAGAGGCTTTACCAGTAAGTGTGTGTTTAAAGTCAAAGCTGCAGTTTCTTCTCTCTTAGCTGAGTACCAGCTGCGTGGTAGGACACAGCACTGCCTCCATCTGCCTTGAAGTAATTCAGTATTACACTGTCCTTACTCAATCATGTAATCTCCAGTAAAAATTAATCAACAAAAATAACAACAAAAAACCCACAACAAAATCTATTCCAAAACCATGAGCTAACTTAATAAATGCTTCCTTTAGCCCCACGCTAGTTGTGTCCTTAATTCTAATTAAGCAGCATGGCACAGTTGCTTAATTAGACAATATTAGCTGGCAAATCCAGCAGCAAAGAATGTTTCTCATTCTTCCTTCTCTGGGAGATGGGGACTGTAGCTGGAGGATGGGTTTAACTCCATGGGGATCTGTGGGGCATTGCCACTACCTTGCTGGTACCCGGGATGCCTTTCCCATGGTCCCAGTTCTGCACGCACAGGTAGAACAGGGGAGACAGTACAACACAGTGAGGGAGCAGGAGTGCAGTAAGGGGATGGCTTGGATGGTTAACAGCATCACATTTGTGATTTCAGATGCTTGCAGCACACAGCTGAGCTTGGAAAACGGGTGTTTCTCAAAAGTTACTCAGAAGTGGAAGATGGATGCTTAGTAATGTGGTCAGAAGACACAGACCAGGGAGAGAGAGCGTGTCCCCTCTGATAAAAGAGAAGGAACAACTGGCTCCAACAGGCACGGAGAAGGCTGAGGCACTCAAAAAGTTCTTTGCCTCAGTCTTCACTGGCCATTAGGCCATTTGAAGACATGGGGAACTACAGTCTGGTGAGCCTCACCCCTGTACCTGGGAAGATCATGGAGGAGATCCCCCTGGAAGTTACATTAAGGCACTTGAGGGATGAGCAGGTGACACAAGACAGCCAGCACAGCTTTACCAAGGGCAGATCTTGCCTGACCCATCTGGTGGCCTTCTGTGATGGAGTGGTGGACAAAGGAAAGGCATTCTCTCAGTCTGGAGATGGAGCGAAACTTTTGACCTTGGGTAGAGATGTGAACAAGTACAGAGAAATTTTGCTCTGTCTGCACAACCCAATGAAGGAAAGAACCTGGGAACATTTACTTGCAACAGCTGCCTTGCAGCCAGCTTTTACTTTGATGTGGGAGCATAGTTCAGGGTCACTCCCACTGTTTTCTAGACACTGTCACGTCTCAAGCAAGCACTGAGCTAATTTCCTCCAATTGTCTTCGGGGAAGCACAAAGATGATGTCACTGTCCTCTGGAAGACCAGGCTGCACCTCCAAACCCTTTTGTAACTAAAGAACCTTCTGTGCTTCCCCAGTGTTCATCTCTAGAGGTGTCCCACGGAGATTCACAGCTCTCAACCATGGCAGATGAGTTCTTATCACTTCCTTGTGGAAATAACTAGCGCTGAAATAATTTCACTCTTAGCAGATGCAGTCTAAGAGTGATAAGGCAGAGTCAAGGGAGATGCTAGTTCGTACTCCTTAAATTCCTGGAGATAGCACTAGCACTTGGTTTTCTTCTTCCTCTCCTAATCTTTCAGTCCATTCTCTCTGAAAATTCAAAATCTTCCCCCCGGTGTTTCTCCTAATCTTGCTTTTAAGGTCTCAAGCAATAAAGCTTTCACCACTTTCCTTAGGGAGACAATTTTCCAGCCTACAGTTCTCTGTTCAAAAGCTTTCCACTCTGATTCTCAGCTTAAATGTGCCCCATCTTAATTTTACCCCATTAAAATCATTACTGTATCACCAGTCTTCTCCCTTTCATGCCATTTACTTCATTCAAATATTTACAGATTACTTACGTGTCTCTGCTTAGTTTACTAATTATATTGTACCTATTACATACAGAATCTGTATGTTGTTTCTTTTTTTTTTCCTCTTCCCTTTTGTAATGCCTCCAGGCTGCCGATTCCTTCGGCTGCAGCTCTTCGAGCTCTTTTCCATCTATCCCTGTTGTCCTGCCTTGTTATGCCTTCTTGTACACCATCCAAATCTGCATTGCCTGTTCCCTGCTGTGCTGTCCTAACTTTTGTGCAACAACACGTGGGTGTCATTGAGTCGTGCCTCCAAAGTGCATCCTTCCCTTTAGAGGGAGGTTCTGGACCTCACCAGAACACTGCTGGCTTCTGAAGGTCATTTTTATGTTGGTGGTTGGGCACGGCTTCAAGATTTGAAGCGGCTCTGGGTCAGAACTTCCAGCAGCAACGCCTGGATTTTGCTCCCTCTGCTGCCTGCATCACCAAAGCTGGACGTGCCCATGAGGCTAAGCAGAATTCATAGCTAGATCATCAGATCGTAGGATGGTTTGAGTGGGAAGGGACCCTTAAAGGCCATCAGGTCCCACTCCCTGCAGTGCACGGGGAGCCTCCAGCAGCGCTCAGAGCCCATCCAGCCCGACCTTTAGTGCTTCTAATTCTCCTTACATGTACATAAAGGCAGTTTCCCAAGTTCACGGGTGGGACTTGGGAGGGGGAGAGGCACACACACGCATTCACGGAGTTTTGAAGGGAGTTCCAAACACGGTGCTGTAGCACCAGCAGCCACCGCAGTGCAGCGGGACGCTGCCGTTCCCTTCCGGCAGCGCGACAGACGGACTGACGAGGGATGCATGGAGGGTCGGTCCTCCATGGATCGGTCCTCCAGCCCGCCGCTCGCCGCTCTCCACCATAGGGGGGCGCTGTCGGACTCGGCCGCTCTACGCGTCGCTCGGCTGCTCCGGCGGCGGAAGTGACGTCGCGCAGAAGAGCCCCGCGGCCTCCGCTGACATTTTCTCTGGCGTCGGGGGCGCGGCGGAGACCCGGCTCCTCCCGGCCGCCCATGCTCCAGCTGCTCCCCCCCGGGGGGGAGGCCAGAAGGGGCCTTCGCCGTTCAGGTGAGTCGAACCGACGCGGCTTGGGCTCTCCCGCCCTTCCGGGGCCGTACCGCTTGGAACCGTTACCGTTAGCCGGCGGCGGGTCCCGATCTCCTTCCCCTTCACCCTGAGGAGGAGGAGGAAGGAAGCGGGATCCGCGGCTGAGGGCTGTGGAGAGCGGGGCCTCTCGTCACGGGCCGCCCGGGCACGGCTGGAGGTCCGCGAGGCCTCGCACGGCGAACCGAAGCGACGCGTTGTGCGCGGCTGGGGTTTGCCCGAACCGAACCGCTGTGCTTCGACTGCGAGACTTTGACACGCTGGTGTTTGCTCTTACGTGGGAGAAAGTTCAGCTGGTTCTTTGCTTATCTCACCTTTCGTTTTCGTAGGGTTTAACGGGCTGCAGGTGTGCTTCCGAGCAAGGAGAATCTGAAGCTCGGCTGTGCTGCCTGCTCCTGTTTGAATGAGCAAAAAGGCAGACTGCACAGACTGGTGATAGCTGGGCTATGTCTGCTTGGTTTCAGGCTTGTAACTTTGCACTGATAGTTGCTGTCAGGCAAATTGAATGGTATGTTCTCAGGTATGCTATCAGATATTGAATGGCTGCTTGGTGGAAGGTGTTTGTCCTTCTTTTAGTTGGGAGAGTGGAAGTGGTAATGAAAGCCCCCACCGTGGTTCAGTAGCATCAAGCTGTGAACACGTCTTGGTTTATTAACTGTGGAGCTGGGCAACTTGTGTTGGCATCTGTATCTTTGTGCAGCTATAACTGCAGCAGCCGAATTAGATGAGGTCCTGATTGTAACTACTCCCATACTTACAAAGTATACTTACATATAAAGTGCCTCGCTGCGTTTGGAGGGGCTGTAACAATCAATAGAACAGCCAGGATTGGAAGGGACCTCAAGGATCATGGAGCTCCAATCCCCCTGCCACAGCAGGGCTAATACTAGACAAGGCTGCCCATCCAACCTCCAAGGATGGATGGGGCATCCACAGCCTTTCTGGGCAGCTGTTCCAGCACCTCACCACTCTCATAGTAAAGAACTTGTATATAGAGATGCTGTGATTAGGTGTAAGTCCTGATTTCTTGTTTTTGCTGGCTGTAATTTTGTAATTTTAAAGAAATGAATGAGCAGTAAAGACCCTTAGTCGTCTTTTAAGTAATCATCTCTTTAAAAATGTAAGTTTTCTTCCTGAACAACCCGCACTCCAAATAGACTGTAAGTCTTCTCAGGTACTTCTCGAGCATACAACCAGATAGCAGTTCCACTCCTAGGCATGTGCTAAGGTATTTCTGGTTTTCTAGGAAAGATTTTAAAGTGCAAACAATATTATTTCTTGCCCAAAAACAGCAGGCAAACTGTTACATTCAAATGTTTGTTTTGAAGTGCTTTATGTTGCTTAAATCTATCAATAATTTCACGCTTGACCAATTGTAATGTGCTTAAAACAGGGCATGGTGCTCTGTGGAAGTGTTCATCCTGCCTCAGTTAATATCTGCGGTTGCTCTTTCTATGATAGAAGAGCTGAAGTCAGGCAGTCCCAGCCGTGCAGCTTCTCAGGGAAACACTGCCTTTTTGGACTGAATGAGTTTGTAGCAGCCTGTAAGGAAAACAGTAAGTTTATGTGGAGTTCAGATCACAGGTAAACACACAGTACAAAAGCAGTGAGGTGAAGTGCTGTGAAGTCATCTACCTGTGACCAATAGTTCTCCAGCAGTTCTCTGAGTATTTCACGTGCCCAGTGATCTGGAGGAGCTTGGTGCTGGTTAAAGAAGCTCCAGTGAGGATGGTTGTGTGGCTGCTAATCAGTGCTGCTTTCTGGAGTGCCAGTGATAGTAGTGCTTTGTCTGGGTGACTGTAGGGGCGAGGGAAGGTAGTGCATGAACATAGGCAGATAGTATTTACGCTCAACTGTGAGGATAACATTTCTGATTCATTTTTAAGCACTTACATTTTTTAATTAAAACGTGTTGACTATTTCTGTTTGCTTTTGAAACTAATTGTTGGTTGGCTAGCATATAGGCATCACAAAAAGTGGCAATGAGAAATTCCTTAGAAATCAGGAAGAGGAAAGGACTGTGGTCTTGCACGTTCAAGAACGTGATACGTGTCTTAGCACGGCCTGGCCCTCTGTATTTGCACTTGATAAGTGCACAAAGGCTGCCTGCTTGGTGAAATCTGAAGGGCACGAACAGGTTGGGAAATGATTGGAGGCGTTAAGCTGGGTGCTGGGAGAAGGGAAAGGAATCTGAAGACAACCACGAGGCAGTTGAGAATGGCATACATGCAACGGTAACCACACGTGCAAATCGAGCTCTGCTCTAACTGATGAAAGGGAGATAGGAAGGATGTTGGTGTGTGTTTGGTAAGTGGTCAGATCATGCTGGCAGCTGACAGTGTGGAGGAGGTGTGGGATTAATGAGGTAAGGTAGGACTAGATGAACAAAGTGCAGATACGGAGTATCAGGAGGGGCTTTGAACGCTAAGCATTTGGGAAATAAGTTGATCAGTACAGGAAGAGAAATAATTGCCTTCTTTGTCCTGATGCCCATCTCCTTTATGGTATTTACCTTTAAAGTCCAAGTTTTGCCACCTTGCTTTGAAGTCCGTAACTAGTTTTGTTCACTTGCTTCACTATCTCTTGTATATTATCACATCAACACTGCGTTCCACTGAAAATGCATGTGCCATGCAAGACCTGGGAGGTTATTGCCAATCTCAAACATCTGTTAGTGAGGTGTGAGCTTCCACACACCCTGCTGAAGTGGCTCCTGGGTGCATGAGCGTTTGGAGCGGTTTTACCTGGCAAGCACTCAGCACTGCACAGCCATGTACTCACCTCCCCCCTCTTCTACAGGAACAAAGGAGAGAATCGGGGGGGGGGGGGCGGATAGAATTCATAGGCCGAGCTATGAACTATTTACAAAGAGAGAAAAGAAAGAGAGAGATAACAGTAATAAATATGTTGACTCAATAGGTGATGCACAAAGCAAGTGCTCACCACCTGCAGACTGATGCCCAGACAGTCCCTGAGCAGCAGCAGCCTCCCCTGCCCAACTCCCCACAGTTTTCCCTTTTTTGTCACATGCTACCATGCAGTGTAGGAGACCCCTTTGGCCAGTTTAGGTCAGTGTGCCCTGGTTCTGCTCCTTCCCAGCAACTTGTGCCTCGAAGCCCCACAGCTGGCGGGATAGTATTAGAAGCTGAGAAACTGTCCTTGGCTGTGTGCAGCACTGCCCAGTGACTGCTAAAACATCCGTGTGTTATCAGCTTTGGTTTTCTCCTAAAGCCAAAACATAGCATCATATCAGACACTGTGAAGGGGGGGGGGGAAATACTGTCCCAACTGAAACAAGGACTTCTGATTACATTCTGGCCAGACTGTTACCACTGAAAACATCTAAGTGTGAGAGCTTTTCAAATGAATAGATGTTTAAGCAACCTGTATTTCACTTTCTGTAACGTCTGTTTATGTGTCGGTGGTACTTTTAGACAGAGCTGGATCAGTGATCAGTTTATGTGCATTTGACTAGATGCCTTATGAAACTGTAAACGTTGTCAGAAACTCAGCAGAAGACTTAATAACATATTTAGCAGATCAGAGAGAAAGATTTAAGCAGCATAGTTGCAGGCACATATCTAGCACCTCAGAAGGGGCACTTGGAAAGAAGTTCTGAAACTTGGTAAGTTTTTACTGACCTGAACATGCTTGAGTAGCAGCGGGGAACCAAAAATGAAACAGCAGAGGGAGAGAGGGACTGGCTTAGTGCTGGGAAAGAACTCTGTGCTCTACGTGCTGCTGTGTTGTTTGCTTGTCTTGTTTCCCTGTGTGCAGGGCAGTAAGGAAACTCAGTTTTTCAGTGCATGAACTGAAGCTCAGCAGGTAACGAATGGTTGTGCCCTTAACACAGCTGATCTGCTATGACAGTGGAATCTGCTGCAACAAAAAATTGCTGCATTTGACTCTCCAATTTGAGATCTAGAAAATAACTTTTACAAGTGGGCAATTCTGATCATAAAGGAAGCTGAAAGATGTAAATAAAAATGTGGACGTAGCATAAGTATTAGCCTCAGCAGCTGCTTTATCGTAAATCCATCTCTGAACTAGACTGGAGTGACTGATGCAGTGGCACTCAGTTATTGCTATGAGTTAGAAATTAAATTTGTGGTTCATTGCTTGGTGACACTTGTTTATGTTCCCTCATTACAGATCTGATCAATGTGAGTAGAGTCGGTGCAGTATGGCAGTTTCTCCACGGATGTGACTTTGTTTCTGCAGCTCAGGCACATGTTGATTACTCATTCAGGACTGAAATGAGATGCAGCTCTGAGGTGTTGCTGTTACACCATTGCAGATGCATTAATGAAAGCACAGAGAGGTCAAGTAACGTGCTGTGGTCATGTGGTGAGTCAGCTTTGGATTCGCTGTGGTCCAATATGGTACCCATTTTTAAGAGGGTATTTAGTTTTTTATCAGTTTTACCACTTAATCTGCCTCTTGAATATTCAGGATAAAATTTAATTAGAAAAATACTGAACAGGCTTTAGCCCTGTGATAGTCGTCTCCAGTAACACAGCTAAAAGCTGTTAGTACCCAATCTGAGAGCTTTTAAATCATAAGAACAAGTGGTCACTTCAATTAACTCCAAGTATTTAAGACTCAAGCCTGTAGTTTTGCTTCCATATACTTGGATTTTACCTTTGACTTTGCAGTACAACTTCTGCAGTGTCCTGCAGAATGCTTTTCAGCTTTTGTAAGCAGGCAGACTGACTATGGGTGGATAGTGTTCCTGCTGCTTTTCTTGTGTAACGTCTTGTTTCCTTGTGCTTGGTCATCACTCTTTCAAGCCTATTTTGGAGAAAGCAGATTTCACTTTCGTTCATCCCAAATGAGCAGAGTCCAAGTGATTCACAGTAGCAGAGCTCAGAATAACTAAACGCCAGACTCTGTCATATCAGTTGTCTGTGAAATGATGTGGCTTCCACCATATCAGTAACTTGCTTTTCATTGAGAACCTTACA